AAGACCGCATCTACAAAACCAGCGCATACCAGTGCTGCAAATGAACTCAGGCCAAAGAATTCTTTGCAAATCTTCATCACGGCAGACTCGCACAGAATGCTAGTTGATGCACAAGCGACAGACACGGTTCATGATCAGTTTAGAGTTTAAAGCCCCGCATTTGATGTTCCAAATGTGGTGTTCATAGTCGGTGGAGTGAGTTGTCTGTAATTCACTTCATGAACGAGACCTTAACCTGCTAAACTCTTACATGCAACCTCGGTTGCATGGACAACTTCTTACAGGACTGTGTGTGTGTGTAGAAAGCAAGGAAATTTGAGGCAACAACAGGTCTGTGATCCTTTTTGATGTCTTAGGCTGCACGCGTGCTACGCTGATGCGCTTTACGAGTTGCAAACCTGCCTGCAATGGCCGGGCAGCCTTTGAAAATGCATCGTGATGAGGATAGATCATTGGAAATATACATCTTCAACGCGGAATTCCTAGTAAGCTTGAGTCACCAGCTCATGCTAAGTGTGCCGCGGCCCTTTGTACAGACCGCCCGTCGCTCCTACTGATTGAGTGATCCGGTGAATTATTCGGACGGATGCAGTGTTGATGTGGTCGTTGCATATCGCTGCTAATGTGCCGCGTGCCATAGAGAGTGCAGGTACGTCGTGGGCTGAAAGCAGCAGACAGCGGATGGACAACATCTTGGGAGGAGTCTGCAGCTTAATTACAGTGTCTACCGTCAAGTGACACTGGACCAGGCGCTGTGGTTGATTTCATTTCTGTCACCAGGCTGTGCGACAAGAAGGAAGTTTCATCAAGCTTCCGTGTGCAGAAACCACCCAAAGAGGCGCCGTTCACATGTGAACTGTATGCGGGTTCCAGGGCTGAGCAACGCCCGCATCAGTTTGAAAGAGCGAGGGCCTGGGCTAAGGCACAGTGTCAGAACAGGATGGGCCAAGATCTTTATACCACAAAGCCAGGTACTGCGCAACAGCACCAGTACAGAGAAAAGGCTGTCAGTTTGCCGAATAGAACGAGGATGGGAGAAGACCATGCGGACATCTTCACCGCGAGGTAGTGGGACAGCACAAGTCATTAGCAGTTCAAAAGGCATGCTGCGAAAGCCGGGTGGGACCAGCAGAAAGACGGGCCTTCACTTGAAGTGGATTAACGTCTTGCTTGAGTCACTAGTCCAGTGGCCTCAGAGAAGGTCTTGACAGCATTGGTCGCTGCTGACCACAGGGTCTATTTTTTTGCAAAGGGGTGGCTCGACTGTGGTGTGGCTTTGGTTCCTCTTGACCTCACATCCGTTGCACTGGTCCCGTGGTCCCGTGGTGCTGTGGTCCTCTGGTGCCCTGGTCATGCTGTCCTCTGGTCTTCTGGTCCTTTGGTCTGGTGTTGTCCCCTGTGGTCCTCTGGTCTTCGTTCACGTTGTCGGTGGTCCCCGTCATCACACCATCATGCATTTGCGATCGAGAGAGCTTCCCGTTTCTGTAAAGCTGTGTGTCCTTGCCTCAGAGAGCAGCATGTAATGTAGGCACTATGTGCAGTAGGACAGATCATCCCATCATCATACACTTGCAGTAGGGAGAGGCCGCCCCCACCCTCTAGACCTGGCAATGCCGCGCCTGCTTGCCTCACATGCCAACATGTGGACACTCTGTTTGCTACAGAGGGGCAGATCTTTCAATCAGATGCCCCCAACCCCCCACTTCTTTCAAGCCGTGCGTGCTTGCCTCCCATCATCGTACATTTGCAAGTGGGAGGGAGCTGCAATGCCTCCACCCCACGGGCATGCTTGCCTCGAATAGCAGAATGTGGGCACCATGTGTGCCCAAATGCATTGATCACCCCATCGGGGGGGGCTACCCCCCCCCCCCCAATGCCCCCGCTTCACGCTTGCCTCACAGGCCAGCATGTGAGCACCCTGTGTGCCAGAAAGCATGGATCTTCCAATCATCATTTGTTTGCCATTTTTTTGCTTGGGGGGGGGTGCGCTCTGCTTGAAAGCTGTGCATGTTTGCCTCACAAAGCGGCATGTGGACATTGCGTGATCCTCCCATCATCATACATTGCAACTGGGAGGGGCTCTCCCCAAACCCTGTCGCTTCCCTCACATCCTTGCCTCACATAGCAGCATCTGGGCACCCTGTATGCCAGACAGGATGGATCGTCCAAGCCCCACCCAACGCTCCCGCTTTTTCAAAGTCCTGCATGCTTGCCTTCATCATACATATGGAGGTAGGAGGGGAACTGCACTGCCCGCCAGCCCCTTCGCGTAGTGAAAGCTGCGTACGTATGCTTGCCTCAAATAGTAGCACGTGGGCTCTCTGGTGTGCCAGAAAGGGCGGACCTTTCAATCACAATTCATTCCAGATGGGGGGCTACGCAGCCCCCAACCCCCCCGCTTCTCAAGCAGTGCGTGTTTTGCCGCACGAAAGCAGCATGTTGGCACTGCATGGTCCGTGCGGCAAACCCCAGGGTGTAGGATGCAAAAGTACGTACAGTCTTATACAATCAAAAAATCATGGCCATGGTAACAATAGCAAGAGAACATGGAGTGTAAGGTTCAGGGTTTCAGAGTGGAGTCAGCAGGTATCATGCTGTTGTGGGGTTAAGGGTTGAAGCTTATAAGTAGCGGCAAACGTGGCAGCAAATTTTTCTAGTGATCTAACGAGTGGGCTTACAGCCTGATATTTTCATTATTTCTTAGACAAGGTTCTTAGTGTTCTGCAGGAATGGATTTTCGTAATAGCTCCTACATAACCCCCAATCATATGATCATCTCTTTTCACTTCCATCCTCCTCTATTAACCAGCAAGTAGACTGGAAACACCGACTTCACACCTAAGCCTTAACCTATCCGTGCCCGCAATTTCAAACAAATGTTTTCCCAGTGACTTAGTTAAAGGAGTGGAGCAGTGCAAGACCAACAAACGCTGTGGAAGGAAGGAAGGCAGGAGTCGACCTGCAGAGGAGCTCCCGCGGCCTGCCACACCCTTCCCTGCCCAGCATGTCGTGGGGTTATCGCAGACCTCATCGACCCCTCCGCGGGAGGTTCCAGGCTGGGCACAGGAGGTTCCAGGAGGGTGTAGTACAAGGCTACAGTAAAAAACAAAATCACAGGTTCCAAGTATAGGTTTTCAGTTCTACGACGGCTGATGTGGGCCAGAAGAGCAGCGGACAGGGGGCCGGAGGCCCAGAACAGGGTGCAGAACAAAAGCAGTGCCTTCCTTCTTTCGACCAGAAGAAACTATGGCCCGGCCCTCCGAGACAGAAATTGTAAACCCTAAGCCCTAGGCCCTATGGAGGCACAAAGCTGGGTTTGGGCCAGATGGGGGTCGGACAGCGGGCCGGAGGCCGCAGGAGCTCCAAACTAAGTGCACGCCGCGGGCAGGAAGCGATGCTGCGGCCCAGAAGTTCCAGCAGCGCTGTCCGCGCACAGGGCGCGGTTGCAGGAAGGGAGGACAATGTGGCCACGCTGTTGTGGAAAGGAGGGCGAGCAATACCTGAGCAAGGACGTTCTCGGCCAGGAAATAAGATGATGTGGACCAGGCGGGGTTTGCTTGGCATCGTCCCAACCAGCATCCTGGACCTCGCCGCTTGGACTGATGGCTGTAAGCTGTACATAGCTAGGCCTATCAGCCTTGAACGCTCACAAAAAAGTTAAGAATGTATTGGAAAACGTGCGGGCCGTGCAGCCACATGGCAATCTGTGGGGTGTGTAGCTGAGCAAGAAGCAACCTGTCAAGCTGCGGGGTGTGCCGCTGCCAGCGATGTACTTTCAAGAATGTACGGTGGCGACGTCTACACAGCGTGTAGTGTAGTGGCTTGGAAACCTTCCACCGAGACGCGAAATAAAAGGTTGTGCAGATGTGGACCTGACAAGCCGCAAGGTTCGGAAGGCACTGTGGCTATGTCTGGGGGTGCTCGTGGGGCAAGAGTAGCGCCCTTAGAGCCGCCAGGAATCCATTCAGCGTATGGAAAAGACCCTCCTTGCAAGCCGCCGCAGGCCTGGTGAACAAACGCTGGAAGCTAACTACAGCATATATAACTTTCCGAACCAGCAATGCTGTCATTTGCAGTGCTTGGAGCGTTCCACGCTTGAGTCTTTGCCAAACCAACAAACGCCCATTTGAAATTGCCAAGACCCGCAGACCCTGAAATTTGCAGTGCTTGAAGCGTTCCATCATTTACCGCAAGCTATGCTGTAATGTGCAGCGCCTAAAGCTTTCCAAGCCCAGCAGACGCAATTTACGCCGTTTGAAGCTTTCCAAGACCACCAAACACTGTTCTTGCAGCATGTGGGACGTTCCAAGACCAGCAAATGGCATTTGAAACGTTTGAGCCAAAAAAGAGTGATGCGCACCTTGGCAAAAAGACGGCCGAGCCACACCCTTGCCCAAAAACTTCCGATTTGACCACAGGGCCACCAGCTCAAGTACAAACTCATTTTTTGCATTATAGTTTTTGCTTCCTCATGGGCATCTAACTTTTCTTTGAAGCAAGATCTGGCGCCTTTAAGGGCAGCTGAGTTCAATGCACATCATCGCATTGCCTCATTGAGCGATTGGCTTGCGCATTGTAGGAGCCAATGTCAGGCAAAGATGAAATTATCCAGAAGTGGAAAAACCTTAGTAAAACGAAAGCGCACTCCCAAGAAACGGTGCAATTCTTAGTTTCGCTCCTTACAAATAGTGTACGCGGCTGCTCTTACATGCAAGTGGCCAAGCCTGGCTTTGCAAGAGAGCGGGCCGGCTGTCATGTGTAAGCTCGAAGATGCCCGAATGCAATGCAAATTGCAAATTGCAGACTGTGCGACTGAACGACTGAACGCAGATTTGGCGCTCATTCTAATGGGTGTGCTCATGGTAGTTTTGACACAGACAGGGCATCAGCTGCTGGCACTCAGGTTTTTGGTCTGCACATTTGTGCACAGTAGCTTCGTGAAAGACTTGGGCTCAGGAAGGTGTGGTATGCCAGGTAGTAAATCGCATTAGGCCGTGCACATGCGTGTGGTTGTGACGGGGGCAGGTGGTCAGACTGGAAGCCTGGTCGTCCAGCAGCTCCTAGAGCGAGGGGTTGACACCACTGCCGTGGTACGGACGGAGGGGAGCAAGCAGAAGCTGGCAGAACAGCTGGGTGCCCAAGCTGCCAAACTCAAAATCGTGTTGGCGGATGTCACAGACTCGAAAACGTTGGGTACAGCATTTGCTGGCATGGATGCAGCAGTCGTTGTAACCAGTGCTATGCCCCGGCTGCTGAAGTCTTCCCTGCTTGGGGTGATCCTTGCAAAAGTCTTTACCCTGGGCTACGTGTCTAGAAAGCCTTCGTTTTATTTCGACGAAGGCCAGTCGCCAGAGATAGTGGACTGGATGGGTCAGCGCGATCAGATCGATGCTGCCAAAACGGCTGGCCTCAAGCATGTTGTCCTGGTATCTTCGATGGCTGGAACGAAGCCAGATCATTTTCTCAACACGCAAATGGATAACATCGTTTTGTGGAAGAGGAAAGCTGAGTGCTACCTTGTGGCAAGCGGATTACCTTACACTATCATTCACCCTGGTGGTCTGTTGCCACATTTCGGTGATCGGAATCCAGCCCCAGGTGGACGAAGACAGCTCTATGTTGGCATTGATGACTCCTTGATGGATGACGGACAGAATCACAGTTCCATACCTCGCGGAGATGTTGCAGCAGTTTGTGTGGCCAGCCTCTTTGAACCACTGGCGCAAGGGCGCTCATTCGACCTTGGTGCTGGGCCTGAGGGCGAGCCTTACAGCCTCAACCTTAAGGACTTGCTGGAACCACTTCAGGGCGCGAACGCGCACTATACCAAAGAGCAGGCAGAGTTCAAAGGTGGCAAGAAGGTAAGGACTTGTCCGTGCGGAGAACAGTGAAAAATGGCTGCATTCTGGATGGACCCTCTCTGGTTTGCAGACAACCCATGCTTTTGAGCCACGCCGCAGCGCATTACCGCTGACCGCTGGAAGCAAACAGTGCTTGACTGCGTGTGAGGCAGTAAATGAAGCAGGCACATTATCTTGAGGACCATGCAACTTTAGTAGCGATTGAGGTGCTGGTGGAATTTGTAGAGGCCAACCTGTGCCAAACCACCGGCAAGGCATCGGCAACTGCAGTCATCATGCAGTCGCAAGTTGCGCACGATTCTGCTGGCCAAGGATTGGGCGCGAGCGTTGCTGTACAAAATGGAGGGCGAGGACTCTCGGGACACCAGGGCTGCTTGAATTCGACAGGTCGTACCTGAAAGGCTTTTGTTAGGCTCACAAGCAACATGCGAGGATGAGGAGGCTCCAGCAGACGAGTCTTCCGGTGAGGCCCACGTCTTTCGTGTTCGGCAGGTTGTTTGAGCGCATTCCTGCGACGATAGGACTTTGAGACAGCAACTGATTTGCAGAGCTGCAGCACCCAGGCCAGCTTGAGATCTGAGAGGCTTTGCGCACGGTGCAGTGTCAAGGCTGCCCCGGCAGCACCATCAGCCCACCCTCCCCGCAGCGGGTCCTCAAGGGACGAAGCTGAAGCTGCAGGAGGTCAGCGTGATAGCCTGAGGTATTCAGCAATCAGCTTCCACCATTGTCATGAGGCGGCCAGGACGGCCGTAGCGTACAAGCCAGCCTGGAATCCGCAGATTCCATGGCAGTGGTAACTGACAAGCCACATCTGGTGGACTTGGCATCGGCTTGCACAGAAGCTCCAACGCCTCAGATCGAGGCGGGTCCCAGCACTCAGCTGCATTCCAGGACTGCATGACAAGAAGAGCCTTGGTTGCTGAGTCCGCCATTGCCATTGCGCAGGTTCAGATTGTTATTCACCTGAAGATACCCCAGGTCACCCAAGGTCTCAAGTCGTCAGCCCTGTAATTTAGTAACATAGTTTCCTGATTTGGGAGGGACCCCACTCTAAGCAAAAAAAGGGTTGCTCAATGATGCAAATGGGAACAGCATGATGTAGGCAGGTGCTAGCAGGTGATTCTCCTTGTACGAGGCCGCCTCGGAGCCCAGAGACGAGTCGGAGAAGCCTCCCGTCACAGAGTCGGAAGCAAGGCCCGGGCTTGTTTTGGGTAAGGATAGCAAGAAGGAGAAAAAGGAGAAGAAAAAGGAGAAGAAGGACAAGGAAAAAAAAGATAAGAAAGCAAAGAAAGAAAAAAAGTGCCAGCCTGAGCCAAGCACGGAAGTTCAATCAAGAGAAGCCAAGAAACAGGCAACCCCGGAGGCAGGGCAGCGCGCAGAGCAAAATCAAGAGGAAGCACGGCCGGCATGCGATCGACCTTTCGCAGGTTGCCCTCGTAGCAGCCCAACTTGACACCTCCAGCAACTCGAGCACCTCTGACATTGAGCAGATAACTGAAGCTGGACCCTCAAGTGCTTCTCGGCACTGGCCATGCAAACTTAGGGTGGCAGCTGCTAGCAGTCAGCATAGCTGGTGGAAGTATTCACGGTGTGTGAGCCAAGTTGCCGCCCTCGCAAGACCACAAGACAGCGTCCAAGATGCTTTGGGTGTTCCAGGTTTGCCGCTCTTGCGACCTTACGTGCTGCCAGTCAAGGACGCGTTTGTGCAGCGCGTTCCTGGAGGGTAGATGCCACAAAGGAGCGGGCCCCAGTCTCAACCAGTGAGCTGTCAGCCTTCAGTGGGAGTTCTTCTTGGATCTTCTAAGTTTGCTGCTTCCTGAGCCTGAGCATGCTAAAGGCAGAATAATCCGAAAAGGTTGTGGATGTTGAGTTCGAAGTTAGCAGCAAGGTAGTTCATGTCCAGCTGCACACTCCCAAAGTGAGCTGAGAAAGCCTGGAGAGGCCCGTTCGCCTGTGTGACTTGTTGCAAAGCATGCTGTGTCCAGTGAAAAGAGTCCCCTGGCTTGAATATCCGTTTGGCTCAAGTTGGCTACCAATGACTGCTCGACCGCCAAGCCAGCGCAATGGCGCGGCACGAGCTGTACAGAGAAAGCCTGGCTCCGCAGCAAGGCCTCCGTCTCGAATTGCCGACTCGCAGCTTTCGCAGCTGTCCCCGGAAGCGAGGGAAGCAAACCGAGGCCGTCCATCACCGGAAGCTGTGTACAACGTAAGCAATGCCAGAGACGGGGCATTCCGACGGCCAGCCCGAGGACCATTGGGAGCTGCCGGTGTCAGTGTGAGCTCAAAGCCTGCGCCTGCGCAGCCCCCACGAGCAGCCTCAAGCGGCCCAAGTGCTGGACGAGCATCTGCGCGTCATGCAAGTGACCTCAACAGAACCCCCACTTTTGCGTACCTGAGGGTGTATGGATTGAATCAGTATGCCCGCGCCTTCATTGCAGCAGGATTCAGTGACCTGGAAACCATAGGCAGGCTTTCTGAAACAGAAGTCTTGGACTTCCTAGAGTCGTTGCGGATTTATCCAGGCCACAAGCTACGTCTTCTCAGAGCCATCGAATGCTTGCGTCACGCAGTGCAAGGAGCAGATCGCCGCGAAGACCAAATGCTTGAAGATGACGCTGCTTTGCAGCGCCTCTGCCTTCAGAATTCTGAACTCTCACGGGAGAAGGCGGAGGCTGAGAACGAGAGCAAGAAGTGGCAGCAAGAGAACCGTCGGCTGCTTGATTTCGTCCGCGAGCAGGGGGCGCAGCTGCAGAAGGAGCATGATAGGGTGTTGGAGCTGGAGGACTTGGTGCAAACCCAGACTGAACAGGTAGAATTTTTGAAAAGCCAGTTGCACACACTTGCACAGGCTGCCGGGCCAGAGATTTTGAACGAGATGTTTCAATCCCAGAAGAAGGGCTCAGACCATTCCGCCCCTCAGCATGCCCAGCATCCCGACGAAACAGAAGCTCTCTCGGCCAGGCCGAGAGCCTTCAGCGATTCCGACTCCTTGACGATGCCTTTGGAAGACCCCCCAACTCCATCGTTTGCACCGAAAGCTGCAACAGCGCAGCGATCCAAATTGGCCAAATCGATGGAGATTCCATCTGCCGACACTGAGGTGGACAGCCTCATAAGGTGCCTTGCAGCCGCCTTGCAGAACAAAGTTATTTTGTCGGTGGGCAAGCCTCGGCCGCACACCGGGTCAGCTGAGTCTATTGCTGCTTGCGCGATCTTCTTGGAGCCCGTCTGCAGGGAAATGCTGGAAGAGCATGGGCGCACGAGAGGTTCCCGCGAAGCCCGCAGCGAGGCATTCAACGAGAACAGTGACTTCGGAACGCCCCTGTCTTCCACCTGTTCACCATTGATGTCCAAAGCGTCATCACTGGAGGCCTCGGATTTGTCACACAGGCCTAGCCAGCCTGGCCAACCATTCAATTCAATTGCAGTGCGAAGAATCCCAAACAAGTGGGATATCTATGATTTCTTGGAGTTGGTAATTCAAGCCTTGGAGGTTCATCCAGAGGTCAGCGTGGTCACTTTGGTGTACTTGGACAGATTCTGTGAGATGAGCGGTGTTGCGCTAACACCCGACAACTGGCAACGATTGACGATCACAGCAATGATGCTTGCTAGTAAAGTGTGGTATGACGAGTCCTACGAGAATTTGGATTTCGCCCAGAAATTTGATCTCTACAGCCTGACCGAGATCAACACCTTCGAGCGCATTTTCTTGAAATGCGTTTCTTACGATATGTCTGTCAAAGCCGTCCAATATGCACAGACTTATTTCTTCTTGAGGACATTAGGAGCAAAGGACTCCGCAGATTTCACTCTCCAGCCTTTAGACGAAGTTGGAGAGTCAAAGCTTCAAGAGCGTTGCTTGGCAAAGCAGGTTGAATTCAAGCGACGCTATCTAGGAGACGGCAAGGACTTCTCGGTGACCACTGCTTTCTAGCAAAGCCGAACATCCAACCAGCGCGTCACTGAGGCAAAAACAGGTCAGAAAAAGAGCTTAGCGTGCTTTTCGGTTATTGACGAGCGCTTCATTTACAGGATGGAAGGGTCCCTCTTTTGAAATTGCTCTAGGAGCATGAGCAGCACAAACATCTTGTTCCACTGGTTGGGTCTTGGTATGGAAAGAAAGCAATAAGTTGATGGTTTTTCAGTGTGCCGCACCTTCGCCCCCAAAACCCATAGTTTCAAAAGAAAGGTTGGCCTGCGTAATCCTGAGGACAGAGGAAGGTTTTTTCGCTCCGCTGAACGTCCCAGTATTGAGGTTGTGTCGCACAGCTGCTGTAGCCCCTGATGATGCCCCTGCCCTGTTAAGCTAACGGTTGAAACCCGGTGGCGATTCTGGACGCCAGCCCAAGCAATGAAAGAGAGTGGCACAGCACGGGCAAGAGTTGAAAGCGCCTCCGTGGCTTGCCAGGCAGCTGAGGCTTTTCGAAGACAAGCTCGCCTTCGTGCCGTCAGAGACACTGAAGGTTCTGTATATCTTATCGGCACGAACATACGGACTTTGTGTTGTTGCATTTGGTGCAGGTCAGCGCTAGGGCTGCGAGGGTACATGCAGGATGCGACATGGTGACATGCCTGTGGGTTTGCAATCCTTGCTGCAAAATGCAGCAACATGCAACAACCATTTTTCTGGTTCAGCGGTTGACATATGTTGACATGCGTTCAGCAGAGCCCGCCAGCAAACAGGCAGGAAAGTTCGAAGAGTGCCCGTGCAAATTGAACAGCGCAGTTGAAACGGAGACCGCAAACTCGCGTACGTCGCATCGTCAGCAACTGACAGGTAATAGATTAGCATCAACAGTTAGCGGTAAAGCCGAGATGTTTTGCTGCACTCCATGCAGCATCAATTGCAGTGACTGATGAGAATTTCCCTGCATCAAGATCCTTTGTTCAAAAATCAGTGAAATCCACAGATGTAAGGCGGTTCAAAAGATGCAAACATTTTTCAGCAAAAGATAGAACTGGTAACATAGCAGATGCAGAAGAAGGCACCCTGTTTCCTCTGCGGCTGAAGCTGTGTTTCTGGGAGTTTTCCGAGCCGCCTTGACAGCAAACTCTCAGATCCAATCCCATTTCTCTCCTGCATAAGAGACTTCCAGAAAGCATTACTTTCAGCATCACACACGCAGTGAGGTAGTCCACCTCCTCTCACCTCCCTACCGACTTATGTAACTTCTGTGACCTTCATGGTTTGAGCAATTCACGCAAACGACCAATGCATCGAATAGGTCCAATCAGATTATCTTGGTCCAAACTAAACCCTGCCAGCCCCTCAGCCCGAATACACGTTAGGCCTATTAGGCCTCTCCTTGAGGCATGCACTGGACTGTTTCTCCAGCAATGTGCTGTTCATTTGTCAATCTGGAGGTTACCCCTGGCCCACCAACTCCGGCACCCCTCAAAAAACAGACATCAGAAGCACGCTTGCAGTTGCCCGCAAACACTTCCCTCTGAGATTTCATTGGCAGAACTTGCTTCAGAAGTTATGACCGGAAGAGGGAAGTAGAGAAGAAGAAGATACATCCTGCCTCCCGGCATGGTTTAGTCTTCTGAGTAGGCGTGAAAACCAGGTAATTAAAACCAGGTCTGCATACCGAGACAGCATGCAACGAATAATCTGGTGCAGACGCCACGCCACAGGCGCCAGCCAGCCTCATCAGCGCTGACCTTAAAAAGGGCCTCGTCATGTGCATCATGGTATGTTGTTCTCGCCATCTCTCCAAGGGTGGGGGCATGGGCAGCAGCTGGGCAGCAGATCAATTTTCAATTTTTTAGTTTCTGCCTAGCCGGCATTGTTTTCAGGCTCGTGCAACACGCATGGCGCCGCAGCGACCTGTCACGATGGGCATACCTCACATCATGGACCCATTGTTGTCGTGGACTTGGCGATCTTATCTTCAGGCCTGTTTGAAAGACACCAAGGCCTGTGTATGATCCTCAGGATGGGACATCCCGGGATAATGACACTTCCGCTTATGTCGCCCGAGATGATGCATGGGTCCAATGCCCTTCCAGTTGTTCACAAGATCAGCAACGCTGCTTGCTGCGCGCCAGGCCGCACTACCACCCCATGGCCATGATGGTGGATCCAGCTTTAATGATGCCCAAAGAGAAGCCTCCGAAAAAGAAGAAAGAACGCAAAGAGGCCGCCCACGCCTACTCCAGCACGCCTTGAGACACTTTTGTAGTCCTCCCTTTGACATCGCAAGGTTGAAGTCATATAACATGCTCCTACAATTTACGCAAAAAAGCTCCCGGCCAGCATGTACAGACCTGTGACCATGACTGCATGCTGAAACCCATTATCTCGGAAAAGATAAAGGCACTCCTTGGGTCACAGGCTACTTCAATACTTGTAAAAGGTACCAACGGCCAGGTAAACTATGCACAGCAGCACACTTACTCTAGCAGGCATGTCACGATGAACAGACAGGCGCTGTTGTGATATTCACCTTCACTAACATCAGTCTCCTGCACAAATTATATACAGCAAGGAGGCCACTCCAGAATTAAAACAATTTGAGACCTGACGAGGTAAAACAATTTCGGGTTGCGAAGGTCTAGCCAGCAGACGTAGCAGCAGCAGCTAATTGGGTTTTGGAGGGTCCTGGAGGTGCATTTGGATTGCGCTGCTGCATTTGTGTGCGAAGTTTGAGTCCGCACAGCAGCGCATGGGAGGCGTTCGCTGAATAGTTGAGAAATTCCGGTGTTCTCATTCCTCATGTATAGCTAAGGTATCAGAACTGCGGCAACGCCTTCTGCACTTCAGATTGCTTAAGCCAATGACTTCGAACATTTGGCTCAAGGATGCAAAAAGGCGACCTCGCTGAGCTTCGTTGCTGTGTCGCTGAGAGGGTTCCCCTAAAGGTGTTCCTGCTTGCGTGTGGTGTCTTCGTGTTCGGGTTTTCCCTGCATAACAACTTGAGTGTGCCTCTTGTTGCTTCTTGTTTGAACCAAGTGGGAATTATCCGTTCAACTGGTTGTCAGCCATATAGTCTCTGAGTTTTCTTACCAGGAAATCTTATAAGTTCGGGGTTTGCATTCGGCAGATGTCGGAGGTTCCGCCTCGAAGTGACACGGACTTCCTTGATCCGGAAGACATTGCCGCACCTGCAGTCAAGCCGGTACGCCGGCGTGGTATTCGGGCAGGACTTGCTGCAAAACGCAAAAGGCAGGCTTTCATCCACAACACCCTTCTGTTCACGGACATTACTGACTCGGCTTTGATACCAATCGTCCACACGGGCGGTCAGAGCCGACCGCTCTTTACGTCGCGGAATTGGTCTCCTCAGTATTCATCTTCAGAAGACGAGTTTGAGGAGGTCCGTGTGCAGCAAAAGCCTACACCGGAGATACCGCCTCCGCGCGTTGAAGGTGCTTCCAGCTCGTCATCAAGACCAGTGCTGCCACCAACTCCTGAGGTGAAGAAATCTGCACCTACACCTGCTAAGAGCCCGAAATCTGATCTTCCTGCTCCACCTGAAGTTGCTCAACCAAAAGTTCCGAAGGCAACTGGGAAACCAGCTGGATTTCAAAGATTGAGGCCTCAGGGGTCGCCGCAGCTTTCTGCGCCCATTCAAGAGGGATTGGTCTCACGTGTCCCACTGCCACCTCCGAAGGCGAAAGCTCACTCCACGCCTTCATCGTCTTTGGCAAGTTCATGGCATATCCCAGTGCTGCTCCTGCTCGTGAACGTGATCCTGTACCTCCTGGTGATCCTCAATGTGTTGCTCAACGTGATCTTCGCAAACCAGCGGAGCCAAAGGGCCCTCCGCCGAAGAAGGCTGGGGCTGTGGTGCCGAAGGCAACTGCAAAATCAGGTCCTGCAGAGCCATCGACTCCACCTCCGAGCATCTGTTAGAGCCATGGATTTGCAGTCAATCCTGGAACATTCAAGAGGATTGCAGTTTGCCGAGACCGCAAGCGCAGGAAATTGTTTCTGGCACCCTCTTCTTGGACTATCACAACACCGACAGGTATTGGGTTCCAAGATCTCTGTCAAATGGTCGTGTTCGTTACCACAGCGTGCAGGACCCCAGTGATAGGCCTGAGCTTGTGCCAGAGATCCAACAACTACTTGTTAGTCTTGCAGGACTTTGTCGACAGACCGGTGTGTTGCTGGTGCTCCTATCGCGCATTGGCATCAAAAGCACAGATATCGAACAGTTCTGCCTATCAACCCTTCGCCGTACGACGGAGGACTCATCCAGTGAGCTCTTTCACCTCTGGTTTTTCCAGTAGACAACGCACTGGCCCTTACGGGAAATTGTGGACCGCTCGTCAAGCCTTCCCGAATCCGGATTGTGACTTCCACATTGTTGATGACAATGTGGAGATCTGCCAGGAATTCCAGGCGAACGGCCACAGCTCAACGCACATCAGATTGCCTCGTCGAGCAGAGTTCCCGGGCCACAAGTCGTTTGCTTCGAGATTTGAGGCGGGGTCCCTACTTCGCAGTTGGATCGAAGGTCAAGAGTGAGCTGGTGTGTGTGTGTGTGTGAGCATCGCAAGCCCTTGGTTGATCGGCTGCTTAAGCGCAACAACCATTGTTAGTGTTATTGGTTGATCACTGGTTACTGGTTTGTTATCCTATAACACATTAAAACCCTAAAGAGCAATCCGCAATACTTTGGTCCTGTTCGGCTGCCTTAGCGCCTCAGGCTCCAAAGGCAGTGTTTGAGCTTGATTGGCTGCTTAAGCGCCGCTAGCTACTGAAGTCCGAAAGCCTGAAAAATGTCCTCTCCTTCGGATCCAACCGCAAGTTCAGTAATGGATCTTTCGCATAGTTCCGCAATGGCTGTTCCTGGTGGTGTTGGTTCTTTGGAGTCGAGTGGGTCTGGTACTCCTTCGAGTATCTCAGAAAGGCAACTAGACAGTAGACATGATTAGAGAGAGGTCACCTCCCCTAACCCCACATAGGACTGTCCAGAACGCTTCTGCGTTAGCTTCGGAGCCAAGTTCCGCAAGTTTCTGCAACTTACATAGAATGTTTTGAATGTAGGTGCCTCTCCCCAAAAAGTCATGCAATCCCAACGCGTTGCTGCAAATCAAGCTGCTCAAGTCGTTGCCGAACGAGCCCAAATCCTCCACAACGAAGCTATTGCTCAGTTTGAAGGTCAGGCGCATGATGTGGTTCAGGCTACCTTTCAGGAAGCTTTGGCCACAGTTGAACAACTCCGGCACGAGCTGATTGATCTTGGGAGGCTTTTTGAGCAACAACTCAAAGAATGTAGAACAGAACTTACCAAAGCCGAAGCTGAGTCAAATGCAGTTCGCTTTCAATTGTCCCAATCAAAGATTGAAGTGCAGGTTAAAGATCGTGAGATCCAACGGCTCCGACAGGCTGCGCCTAGCGCCACGGATGCTGTTAGTCCCCCTGAGCCTGTAGAAGTCGTGTAGCTTCCACTTCTGGATATGGCGTTCCTTCAGGGAATTCGGTGCCTCAGCCCACTTCCCCGATTTCAGACCCCAGAGTGGATCAGCCCATTGAAGTAGTTCAGCAGTTAGCTTCTCGAATTGAGCAACCCAATGGCACGGATCAAGGGGGGTGTCCTAGCGGGGAAGGAGATCTTGAAGAGTCCAGGGAAAAGCAGATTGTTGATCATCGTGCACTTCCCCACTTGAAGCTCGACAATGTTCCTGACAATGCGGCAGGGTTTCGCGCGTGGCGGAACGCGCTTTTAGTCCAAATCGCGAAATTGGATCAATCAGGCCAAGACATAGTCCATGGATGGTTGTCCAAGGCCTTTCAACTAGATCCACGCCTTGATGCCTTTGTCGCCAGAGAAATGAGCTCATTGAGGGTTTGGAAGCAAGTTCCAGACGTAGGGCAAGAAGTTACCGCCTATGTCGAACGATGCGGCCAACAAGGCATATCTCCGAAAGGTAGGTACATGTTAGCCCTCCTTACAAGATACTTCGACTTGGACAGGGTCAGGGGATCCGTGTTGACCGTCCACGCTTTCCAGGTAGAGATCGCAGGAAATTCGCTGAAAGACCTGAAAGATTTCGTCCAAAGATTGAGGATAGTCCTTAGTCAGATTCCCAGAGGCCAACGTCCAGACGACAGGTTGATCGGAGAATGCCTCTTCCATCGAGTCAAGCACATACGTAAGCTTGAGCGTGTGATCGAAGATATCAGAGAGTCTGCCAGGGATTCTCGTATGCGTGAACGGGATTATCTTTGGGAGAAGGTTCAAGACATCTTGATTCAGGACGAGAAGACACCAATGCCTTGTCTGTTTGCAGATCCTTGCAGACTGCGACGCCCTCCAAAGTGAAAGGTGCTGCTGCTGCTGCTGCAGAAACAAGAGCGGCTGCCAAAGCGTAAGCGTTTGCGGCAGCAAAATCTCCTCCCGAAAGCAAGTCTCCTCCGCCTCCCCCTGCAAAGACCGAAGCTCCTGCTGCTCCAGCGCCAAATCCAAAACCAAAACCCAAAGCTACAGCTAAGGCTAAAAACATGACTGATGCTAAAAAGGCAAACACTCCTTGCATCTTCCTCAGGATGTCGTCCGGTTGTATGCGTGGAGAAAACTGCAAGTACAGTCATGAGGCCGAGAAAGCTAAAGCTCCCCCTCCTCCTAAGCCAAAACCGAAAGCGGCCTTGGTAGCCGCGTCCAGTCTTTGCGCGCCAGCAGCATCACCCCAGAGCTCATCCAGTATCGAGTGGGCCGCCGACACTGCGGCAGGTAGGCACTTGGGTTCGGCTAGTGCCTTGTCAAATCAGGTATTTTCAAGGATGCCTATTCCTCCTTCTTGGCCAAGTCCTCAGAGCCTCAGAGCCTGTGACGTTTCACACCGGTGGCGATCCTCAGCCTGGAGTTCATACGCTTGGATTTCTTGCAGACAACATGTCCTTTACTAACCACCGTTAGTCCGGAGTACAGGTTCTTGACGTCACCTCAGGAGAAGCCTTCGTGTGGTTGCCAGATTCCCTTCCAGTCTTTGATCCATCTCAGCTTCAGATTGTGTGTCCGGAAGAGAACAGATTTTACGCCGCAAGAATTGAGAAGCATGTGCCGATACTCACTAGTCAGGTGACGTTTGCACGTGCTGCTGTCTCCGAGATTTGAGCCTGTCCAGTGTCAAAGGGTTCAGATGATAGTGAGAATGAGGTTTCTCCTCATCCTGTGCCATTTGCAGAGC